TGGCGACCGCCGCTGGGACCTGCGTTGCGGGCGGGACCGCGGGGTGGCAGGCCGGTCGGTTCGGAGCTGTATTTCGGCGCGACATGTGGGACAGGTTTGATGCGCAATGAACCAGGATTTCAAACAACGGACGTGCAGCACGTGACCACAAGGCAGGGTCTTGCTGTTGGGTGTAAGCAGGTCTCTGCAGATGATGCAGGTCTCGCGTTCCGCTATCAGAGTGGGGTTTGCATTGGGGAATTGATCTGCGTCTTGCAGCACCTCGATCAACCTGCGGTACTGACGGAAGCTGTGAACACGCGTGTACAGACTTCGACTCACCTGCAACAAATCCGTCGCCAAATACAATGGCAATCGCGCAGGATTTGAAATACAAAACACGAACAAGAAGCCCACGTAGATGAACAAGTCCACCAACTCTTTCATCGTGTCAATCAACATGTAGTGCTCCGTCTTGAACGGCCAGCCTCCCAGCTGCGCCGCCGGTTGCGGCTCGGTTCCTGTACTCGTCTCCGTCGCACCTCCCGCCGGCGCCATGCTTGGAACCGCCATTGTGGGCGAGCCCGAGACGGCCGGCGAACCCCCGGCGGGCGAGACCGCCGGCGACCTTGCAAACGGCGATTGACCCGAGACATTCGCCGCCAACGGAGATGCGTCGAAGGCCTCCGATAAGTCTCCCTCCAACGACATATCCACACACAGCACAACCAACTTCAACAAACTACAGACTGCGGAGCAAAGGAATCCGCAAAACTACGAAAGACAACACATTGAGGAAGTAAAAGGTACGGGGGAACATCCCCTGCTGGGGGGTGGGGGGTAGGGTAAGGTCCGGATGGGGTGGTGGTGGGGTCGGGTGGGGCTGGGTGGGGCCGGGTGGGGCTGGGTGGGTGCTGGATGGGGCTGGGTGCTGTGTAAGTTATTTACTTCGAAGAGTATCCAAGCGTAGAAAGTGCTTCTTTTGCTGGCTCTTGGGACGTAGATGTAAAGTGCTGCCAGGTCCCAGAAGACGAGGGCGAAGAGGAGGGTGCTCAGCTTGCGGACGGCGGACCAAGTACGTGCGGTCTCGGCAGTGTGTACCACACGACTGCTGCCGAGTAAGTGCACGATCTTGGTCGCTATGGTCAGGCCGAGACAGGAGATAAGGATTGAATGCGGCACGTCTTCGCCGCGTACAGTGGGGCTTGCCATTAAAAGGAAGAGCACCGTGTCCAAGAGGATGTTACGCGCCAGTTCGGACATGGCCTGTGCTTCCAGGTCCCGCACACGACCTAGCGTGGTGTGCAATACCGTTGAGATCAGCAACCCCGTCAACGACGCCAGGGCATTGCCGAACACCTAACACGGAAAGGTATAGGGCGGAGAGGGGTGGGAGGGTTGATCCGAACTTACGAGGAGAGAATATTTCCTGTACAGCAGGTGTGTAAGAATGCCGAAGAGTGTGTCCTCCGTGGCGAGCACGTAGGAAACGTAGAGCCCAGCAACCAGAGCTGACAAGCAAGTGTACTCTACCAGCATTGAAAAGGCATGCGGTTCACACGATTAAAAAAACGTATTAACCGAAGCGAGCATAGCCGCGACGAGGAAGACAAGGAAGCCGAGGGCCATTTGACCTCAAGGATAAACCACTGCCAGCGTGGCGTCTGACACATGACTTGTCTGTGAACACACGCATGACTTGCGTGAGCACAGACGATTCCGTGTATGCACACGTGAACACGCGTATGCACACGTGAAGACCGGTAAACCCAATCGGTCGGCACGTTTGGCTCAGTGGTTCGGTGGGTCGGCTGTGTTATTCATTGAGGAGTGAGCTTAGTCGACCTGGTCCACGTCAGTTTCCTTCTTGGATTCGACTCCATCCTTGGCGTCTGCTTCGGCTTCGAAGTCTTCAGGGATGAGTTCGGGGACTTCATCATCATCGGCGGCGGGAGGTTGTTCATGTGCTCGTTTCATGGTTAGGTTGCGAATGATTTCGAGCATTTGCTTGTCGGTGTTGAACTCGTCGCCATTCTTGAGCGCATGGTTACCGGAGACGAAGGTGCAGTTGGAGGCGGTGGCTATGGTGACCTTGGGATGTGCAAAGTGTAAGACCTGTCCATCAGCACGGTGGAATACCACCTCACCACTAGGTGCTATCGTCTGACCACCAAAACGTGCTACCGCTGTGCGAACTTTGTCCACATTGTCCACACCTCTCACCGCCGGCTCCGCAGCTGCCGAGTACGCGAACTTGCGAGGCACACCAGCATGCCGACGCACACCACCCAACTTGGCACGCATGCGCTCGCGAGCCTCTTCCATCGACGCCGGAGTTGGAGTAGACATTTTGTTAAATAAAAAAAATGGCACTCGCACAAGCCCACACGCACAACCCCATCGGAACGACTTAACGCCCACCGGAGAACGCCCACCCACCGGAGAACGTTGCCCGGAACGTTGCCCGTCAGGAGGCGGAACACTGTTTGGGTCCAGGGCGCGGAACACTCTTTGGGACCAGGAGGCGGAACACACCTTGGGACCAGGAAACGGAACACACCTTGGGACCAGGAAACGGAACACTTTTTGGTCTGGGGGGGTTACGCGTCTTCCTCATCGTCTTCTTCGTCATCTTCTTCATCGCCCCAGAACAATCCCCTGCAGAATAGCGATGACCCGTGAACTTGGGGACCCGTGAACTTGGGGACGTGGGACCGGGGGGACCTCCTGGGACCGGGGGG